GATCAGTTAACAGAAGAAAATATTCATTTAGCTCGTATCCTAGCCTGGTGTATAGAAATAGTATTTTTTTATTTTATTTCTTTTTTTCATTTTACATTATTTTAGAATTTATTGTTTTTCAGTTCACTAACATTTCTATATTCATTACATTATTCATTACTACATTAGTAATAAAAAAGTTATATTTATAAGTAATAAAAAAATTGATCTTATACAATTATTTAATATTTTAAACTAATATTATTTCTTTCTAGCTTTATAAAGTTTATATATATGTATATATATAATTGTTATTATAGATGCTTGCATTTCACACAATGGCAGATGATATTTTAGATCATGCAAACATGCGACGAAATCAACCAACCTGGCATGTAAAAGTTGGATTAAGTGCAATTAATGATGCTTTTATTATGGAAACATGTATATACAAGCTTATTAAGAAACATTTTAAATCGAAAAATTGTTATGTAGATATCGTGGATATATTTTTGAAGGTATCAAATTTTTTTATTTATATAAACAGTGCTCAAAAAAATAATTATTGTATTCATATATTAATTCATTATTAATTGTTTATACTAAAGTCAAAATTATTATTTTTTATTGTTCAGTCTCAATTTTGAAAGAAAATAATAATAATGATAATGAAATCATCTTTTTATGAAAATTGAAAATTTAAAAAAAAATTTTGTCGTATAATTTTTTCATATACAAAACTCATCTAAAAAATAGTGCATATTTGTCTATAATTCCAAAATAAAAAAAGAGCATTGTATATCAAATTATTGTAATTTCTTTACAAATATATAAAAAATATATAAAAAATAGTTTTGTTTAAATTAATCATTTATAAATAGTTCATGAACAACATTTTATAATGGATTTTTTTCACATTTCGAGAAAAATCATCAGAATATTCATTTTATTGATATGAAGAACAATAAAATAAAGGAAATGATGAAATTTTAGATTTCAATGAATAATGTTAAGCAATGAATAATGTTTCATTAGCAAAATGAAAACACATATCACATATTAAGAAAATTTATATTCTTATATTAAAACTGTTGAAAAATAAACATTCTGAAGCTAATAAATTTTGTTTTCATTCTTATTTTGATATTCTTAAATACTTGACTTTTTATTTTCGAGATATAAATAAATATACATTAAGTACTTTTTAATTAATTCTTATTTCATTTTCATTTACATTTTTTTTATATTTTTATAAAAGTTAATAAAATTGTGTGTCTTCCATAAATTAAAATAAATATATTGAATTAATTAATATGTATAAAATATTATTTACTAAATTAAAAACATAAGTATTGTTGATTCTATCGAGTAATTTATTCATTCTCTATTTTTTAATAAGTATTTTATCAATTCTAATAAAAATCTTTTCATTAAAAATATTAATATATATATAAATTATTATGTATAAATATAAAAAATATGTATAATATTATTTTAAAACGATTTCCTACATAAAAAAATACTTACAATATAATATATTTTAAGAATGTGTACAACAATTTTGAATTTTGCTGAACGTATACATTTTATTCTGTATAAATTTAGATTTTATAATAATTAAAACAATTATTATAATTATATAAATATAATTTATCAAATATTTGTGTAATTTGCAGTATCATAGAAAAACAATGCATGGTCAATGCTTAGATATATTAATATCGACACATTGGGAAAAAAAAAATTTTAATCTTTTTTCAATAGACCGATACAATACTTTAGTAAAATATAAAACATCTTACTTCTCATTTATACTTCCATTCAGTCTTGCTATGCGTTTCGTAAGTATATTTAATTGCATTATTTGATTTTATTAATTCTTATAACTATAATATTTATATTAGAAAAGTATAGATTTTTCCATTCTTTTTTACTTACATTACTTTAATTATATATTGTTCATAGGCTGGCATAATCGATCCAGAAATGCATAGGGAAGCAGAAAAAATTCTGATAAAAATAAGTCATCTTTTCCAAGTACAAAATGATTTTTTGGATTATTACAGTAAAGAAGAAATCGGAGGAAAAAGTGGAACTGATATACAAGAAGGAAAATGTACATGGCCCATTATGATTGCATTGCAGCGAGCTACAATTGAACAAAAAAAAATTTTAAAAGTAAATTTGTCATTATTAATATTTCAAATTTATTTTCTTCTAATAGAATAAATTACTAATAATATTAATATAATCTAGGAATGTTATGGAGTAGCTGATGAAGAAAAAGTAAAACAAGTGAAAGAAATTTATGAAGAGATAGGTATATCAAATATCTATTTGGATTACGAAGAAGAAATGCATAATTTATTGAATACATATATACAACAATTATCTTCGAAACTTCCAATTGAATACTTTTTATACTTACTCGCTACATCATGTAGTAAAATAGAACGAGAAGATTAATTGTACAAGATATTTGAAAAATATAGGATCACACTTCGATTCAGAAATTCTTAAGATAATATTTTCTTATATATTCTTTTATTGATATATTATTTGAGCGATATTTTTTGTGCAAAAATTTTCCTTCTTATCTTATTAAATTATTAACGATAAAATACTGCTCTATCACAGAGTACATACGTGTAAAGTCGTATTGAGTCCATGTCGATTAAACAGGAATAAATTGACTCAATATATCGAAAAAACTGTATTACATGTAACAAATATTTTTATTTAATAATAAAAAAAATATATGTTTTGAGTAAAAAGGAATAAATTATATTACATTAACTATATTATATTAACTACATTAAATTGAAAAGTATTGACTAAATAAATAAAATCAATCATTCAAGAAAATTCTTGAAATCTCTTTTCGTAATCTCCTTTTCCTATCTTTTTTTTAATATTAATTATGGTACTTTAATATCTGATGATATTTTATTATCTTATAATAATATAATATAATAAACTTATATTTGACAGATTTGCATAACAATTAACTGATTATAGATAAAACATATATACATGTATACAACTGAAAAATAATGACACAGAAAAGATAAAAACACGAAATATGTATTCAATGTATCATTCAATCAATCGTATTTATCATTCACTTCATTGCATGGTCAAAAATTAACTCTAATAATTTATAGTGGCATATAATCGATTGTTCCGTTTCAAATAGCCTACGAGTAGCCACCTTGACAATTTGTGACTAGTGATTAGTCAATATTTTTTTTGTTGATATGAACTCGTCAATAAAGGGTTTTAAGAAAAATACTGTTGGATATTATCTTAGGAATCTATTAATCGTCGTTTCTGTTGAATAGTTAATTAACATTTTTCTGTTGAGTAGTTAATAATGGTAAATTATTGTAATAAAATCGATACAATATTCTAATAAAACATAAAACATAAAACATGTTACATCTCTTTTATACTTTTATCTAAGTAATCTAAACGATTACAAGTATTATTAGTATCTTCGAAAATACAGTCGTTCAATGTTGTCCGAACTTTTAAAGTAAAAATTAAAAATTGCTCTTTCGTTTAATTTCGTTAAACAATGTCGTTAATTTTGAAACTAGAAGCATCGTGCCGAATAAAATTCAATCTTGCTATGCATTTCGTAAATATATTTAATTATATTTGATTTTAATAATTAATATAATTTTAATATTTATATTATAAAAATATAATTTTTTTTTACTTACTTTCTTTTTTACTTATTTTATTATATATTATTCATATGATGACATAATCGATCCAAAAATGAATAAGAGAAGTAGAAAAAATTTTAATTTTGAAAAATAAATTAAAGATGAAAACAATAAACGTTATATTTTACAAATATTAAAAGAATAACAATTCAATATTGTTCGCTCTCGTAGTGAACTGTTAAGTATATGTATACATGTGTCGAATGCTATTCGACAGAGAATGTGTGTGTGTGTGTGTGTGTGTGTGTGTGTTCATGTGTGAAGAAGCTGGCCTCGTGATTGTTACTATATTTCCTAAAAATGGAAAGTGGACTACAAACGATTACACGTGTGGTGCGTGTGGCTATAAGAAAGCAGAGTCTCTCGCAATGTCACAATGTAATCATATCTAATGATGGTAAAGGACGATATTTAATTGCAAACAAACTATCTATTGTCATGTCCGGCATTCATATTGCGACATATTCATAATGAATCTTTATTTACAAGTTAAACTCATGCCCTTAGAAAATTCTTTTCTAATTGAATTGAAAAAATCACGATGAGACATGATAATATCAATAATAATAGTATCAGTAATGATAATACTTAATTCAAATTAAAGGAAAATTTCTTAAATTAGTAATTAATATACAAAGATATCAAGATGTCGACAATCAAGAATTAATCAGCATATACTTATTATAAATTTTTTCGAATTATCACATTGATCGCCGTTGAATCAATAGTGAAATGTCATCTTTAGGATTGGATTCCACTCTAACCAAGCTAAAGTGTAGTAAAAATATACAATTTTAAATGTCAATTTTAAACTCTTCTCGAAAACGGTAATCTTCTCAGATAATATCTTTTGTTTAGATTTAATAGAAGTGGACGACCAATAACGACGATAAATAATAATAGAAAAAGATTTCTATGCAAGAAATTATTTTTTCAAATAAATTGTTATAAATCTCGGGAACCAATAAATGCTCGGGAATATTAACAAAAGACTTTGATAATACATAAATATTAATAATCTTTTAATATCAATTTAATATAGATTCTAACAGTATAGATTTGGAATAGACATTTACAATTAAAATTTTTATTTTCATTTTTTTTTAAATAAAACAAATACATATATATTATATATATAAATATATATTTATATATATTTAGATAAAGATATTTATATATTTGATATATCTTTTTTCTTTCTACGAGAAGAATTTTTTACATTTAATTCTTTTTTCAACAAAAAAACGGAAATTTATATTTTCACGATATTTTAGCTTTCAAAATATAATGAGAGGAACATATATATAAAACTATATCGATTAAAAATTTTTTGTATTTTTTGTATTAAAAAAAATATTGATTTTTTAATAATATGAATAAAATATAATATAAAACAGATTCTATAATTTTTTTCTGGTGAAATCATATTTCTGATTTATTTTGAAATTAATCTTGAAATTAAATACAGTTTTTTTTAGAAAATAAAGAAAATTTAATTTTATAATTTTTTATTTACAAATTTTTAAAAATTTTTGCAATTTTTGCAATTTTTGTAACTTGGATTATTGATTCTTAGTTTTCAATGATTATATAATTATTAATAATGATGATGAGAGTTATAAAAAAATATATATTTTTGATAAATTATGAAAATAAGTTTTTGCATTAAAAAATAATTATTTATTGTGACGAATATGTTCATATCGAAATATAATATAATGTTAATCGTTTATATAAATTGGTGCGAATATATTTATATTAGATATGTTAGATTTTTTGTAATGTTAGATTTTATTCATATTATTATAGATATTATTCATATTTATTCATATTAATTCCTTGAAATTGATAAATAAAAATATGGAAATGGTTAACTATGTACATATACAACAGTATCTTTAGCAATTAACTTCGAATAACAATTATCATCTACCAAAATAGATGACATAATAGCAAAGAAGCAAAAATTAATATAACTTCATATTAATATTATTTGAAATTCCTTCTTCGGATCACCTGTATGGTCCAATAACTGTAACGGTAAAAAATCCGTAACAAAATGAGAAAAAATTATGGACATTATTGTTGCACAACTTGACACCCCTCCTTCGCGTCACGAAGGATAATAACGGTAACCTAGGCTATATATTAAAGCCGACTGAGCACAAAAGTTGCAGTATCAAAAAAAATAAGTTATAGTTCATTTATTGATATAATTCGATATAATTTTTTATAGAAATGTTTTATATTTTATCAAGATATATCAATTTGTGCGAACGAAATATACAAAAAATCTTCAATTCTATAAATATTAGAAAAAATTCATTATGGTGGAAATGTCAAGAATCAAGAATAGGATACTCTTGTTATAAAATAAATACACCATTAAAATATCATACGTGAGTAAAAATATTTTTATTATAATTTTTTTATTATATATTTTATTATAAATCGAAAGGAAATGTTCAATTTTATCTCTCAAAAAAAATACGTTTAAATATATATACAGCGATATATATTTTATCATATTATTATTCTCTTTAATTTTTATTAATTTAATTTAATTTTAATTTAATTTATTATATTCTATTTAATTATAAAATTAATATTATTAAGCATTAAATAATTAATTAATAATATTATATAATACCGTATTTATTTTATCATAATTATATTGTATTATATTCATTACTGTGTATAGTCATTTATATATGAATATAAGAGATTGTTTGAAAAATATGAGATCATTATATCATTATCAAATATCAATTCTCTATTGAAAATCAGTAACTAACTTTTCACAATATTTTTTTTTGCAAGCTAATACCTGCAAAAAAACTTGCGAGAAAATTTTTTTGATATAAGAAGATCATTATTAAATTTTGCGAGCACTTATTATTTGCGAACATTTAAATTTTAACTTTGAAAAGTTTGATTAAAATGGTATGAAATAATAATCTTAATTTTTTATTTTATTAAAAATTTAATTTTATAACAAATATAACCCTGCATTTGATGAGATTCAATCAATTCTCTACTGTTTATCATTTTTGAGCAATAATCGTCTCAAGGTTAATTCGCATAATTCTGGTTAGATTTGAAATTGTCATTATTTAGCGGATGCAATAACATTTTCAACGTTACTGACTATGATATTCACGGACTTTTTAAATTCACCATGAAGGGATTTCCATGGACTTAAATTTAGCTTTTTGAATTATAATATAAATTCGATTTCTTTAACTTATATGAATAATTTAATTAGTTTATACACAATGCCACAATCAATTATACTACACATTCCATGATAGATCCAAATTTTATTCTAATGAAATTTTATGAAAATATATTAACAGTCTATTAGAAAAATAGTTTTATATCGAATAGGAAATTCATATTTAAGTTATTGTACGATGTAAATCGTTATGAAAGCTATGTCGTAACATTTTAACATTATTTATCAATTCAATTTTCTTTTTGTAATTGGATTATTTAAAAAATAAATAATATACAAAAAAAAATAGCAACATTAAACAATGCATAATGTAAGATATCAAATCGAAACAATATATTCAAAATTCATTAGAACAAGTGATATCTCTTTATTTCATAATAATAAACTTTTCATTTAGCAATAAAATTATTTCATATGAGAAGTAAATAAAGAATATATAAGAATATAATAGAAAACTATTAATTGTTTAAATTATATAAATGATTTAAAAATAAATATATTAATAAAATTTCTT